TTTTTTTCTTTTTTTTTTTTTTTTTGTCTTTTGTCTTTTTCCGTGTCCGGCAACGGATCGCAACCCTCAGTGTTGCCCCCGTACCGGACCGGGGACCGGCAACGGGATTGCAACCCTCGGTGTTGCCCCCGCGCCTCGCTCAGCCAGTGAGCGGGAACCGGTCTGTATGTGGGATCCGAACCCTCGGGCGGGAGCGCCGCCGCGCTTCCCAAGCGGCGCACTATCCAGTGCGCCACCAGGTCGGCCCGCTAATGGCTGTCTTTTTCATCTTTCTATTCTATTTTGTAGTCAAACGCCAAGTCTGCATTCTGACTGAATCCCATTTTGAAGTTTCTTTGCCAAATTGTGGCACATTATATCTGTGTCCCTCACGGGTGTGTTGACGAGAAGGGGTGAGGACTGGTGGAACAACCCTTTGCACGCCTCGGGCTGAGAGCAAAGGAGCCAGAAACGCCTCAAGGTGTTGATTCTTGACCTTTACTGACAAGTCAGTGTCAATGTGAAGCCCAGTTGCCCCACTCACCATCCTGTATTTCCTGCCTTTTCTTTATCAGACACTCTCCAAAAGTGGTCAAGGCCGCATCTCAGGTCCTAAACAGCATGTGGCAGTACCGAGATCTGAGGAGTCTGTACAAAAAGGTAAGGCCAGCTTTACCTTCTTGGCTCATGAGCTACACACAAAGTCCAAAGACAATACATGGCCATAGTGAGATGCATCGCAGATACAGAGGCCACTTGTCCAACAGCCCCAGTAACTGCAACATAGCCGAAGTGGGAGTCAACGGAGAAGCAAAGAAATAGGCTCACTCTGTGTCCCCCGAATATGCGATGAGATCCATGAACTTTCTGGACTGGACAGACCCACACTCAGAGAGTCTTACCCTAAATCATCTTACAGAAAAGAAAATTGGCCTATTTTCCTGAGCTCCTATATTCTATAATACACTAAAAAGTAATAAACTGAGGGATTTTACAAAAGAAAAACATTGACAAGAGCCAACAAATACTTTTGGAGAGAAGACAGAAAAAAATATAAAAAGCAATGCAGAAAGTTGAGAATATCACAGCCCGGGAACATTGACTGGAAGACCCAACAGTCTGACCCATGTTCCTAAGCCCCTGACAACCGTAGATCGGAAAGAGGCTCCATGTTTGTTCTGAACACTTTCCCGAGGCAGGCGGGAATTTATATCATGCATTTCGAAGGAGTCTTCATCCCCAAAGTGGTTAAAAAATAAAACCTTAAGAGAAATGTCACATCTACAGATTTTGAGTCTATATCTCATTTAAAGTGGTGCCAAGTAAAGGATGCATGACTTTTCTTTTTTGGTTAGTAGAAGAGAATTTTTTAACAAACATCTCCCAGAAGTTGTTGTTTTGTCATTTACCAGGCCTGCAAGTGTGGGAAGTTTACATCTGAGTTAACAAATAGGAGCAGAGAACATCATCGATGCTCAGGGAGAAGAGGACAGGCATCAGTCTCAGTGCAGGGATTCAGAAAGCACACACAGGGTCAGGAAGGGCGCATGTCCTTTCACACCTGCCCAAAGCACCTCTTTGCCACCACCTGCCTGTGGCCAGAGTCATTGCTGCGTCCATCCTCAATCTGCCAGCCTGGCTGGTACCCGGCTTATTGGGCAGGGACGTGATCTGCAGCAAGAGGCTCCCATCATAGGGAATGAGACCCATCATGCCAGAGGGAAAATGTGTGTTTTTTTAAGTCAGTGGGAAAAAAATAAATATTTAATAACTGTCTGCACTAAGTTATGGTCTATTTCTAGATTTCCCCAAGGCCTTCGTACTTCCCTTAAACATTCATTACTTTGCACTTTAAGCTTATAAAGTTTAGTCTATGTATATCTTTTTCAAATGTTCCTATTCCCTAAGAGGAGGTATGTTTAAGTGGAAACAGAGGATGTAAAATTAAGTGTTAGAGGTGTGTTCTAGGTTAATTATATCCTTTCCTAAGTATTTTTTGCATGTTAGGATTAGCTCTTCATTTAAAATGTCTCAGGTTCCATTCTGTTTTGCTTGAAATTCACATTCCAGCATCCCTAGTTCCTTTTTGGGCTCTTCCAGGAGCCAAATGAAGTCTCTCCCAGGAAGGGGTTTTTCTGCCAAACAGGCAGCCAGACATGAAGAATACGCTATAAATTAGGAGGGAGCTGTTCGTTCTGAATCACTGGCTCCAGAAGCTTGATGAAATACGACTGCTTCAAAGAAGCCCCACTTCCTCTCAGATCCTGAACGTTTTGTCTTTGCTGAAAAACACCTTCTCACACTGACGTGCATTGAAGGGAAACAGCTTTTAGAGATTCTACCACAAGTTATTTGTTGAATATAGTATTACGAGTTGTCCATCTTAGTTTTTTTCTGTGTCGGTATCAGAGTCCAAAAAGTGTAAATGTCTTTCTGTTTCCATGAAGAAAAGGATGTGTTGACAGGAACTTAATGGAGCTAAAACTGAAGAGTTAAAGACGGTTTAAAATGTGTTTCATGTGAGGAAATTCAAGAAGAATGGGCTGGAGAAATCGATGGTCATGTTTTTAGTTGACCCATAATTAAAAAATATTGAGAAAGAATTGTTCTTAATAATTTCCAAATTATGCAGTTGTGAAATGAAATGGGGATCTTTGTGCTTAATGTCATAAGTGCTGCTAAAAGTAAAGCTCAAAATTCAAAAAAGCTTTCTATTCAAAAAGTCCTTTTGTGAGAAAACCAAATTCATTCATCCTTAGGAGCTGCTTTTAATTGTTACGGAAATAGATTTCTATTCTGTTCTTCATTGACAATTTACATATCATTGAAAAAATGTCTGATCCATATCTTTTAATTATCCATGCTTCAAATCTACTGATTAAACGTCCATTTAGGCTTAGCAAAGGAAGAGGTCCAAAGAAAACATAAGATATGGGAAGCAGCTACTGTGGGTAAAAATGAAATATGGGACAATTATTGGCAACTTCTTTAAGTTCTGAATTAGATGCTAAAGATTTTAAAACTGAATTTAAAAAAGGAAAATTATAGATCAAAGTGTTGAGAAATGTGTAGAGTACATAATTAGGAGGTAAGAGATAAGGGCATTACGGACAAGAGTGAAACATGAGCAGAAAGACAGGGACCGTGAGGAGAGCGGCATGCCTCTGGGACAGAATTAGGCCCCTCTGTCACTGCCTTATTTTCCCCTGGACCCTGGGCACAGAGGCCAGGATCCCATTTTATTAGGTCTGCTACTCTATTTTACTTAGAGAGACACTTTTAATCAATCAGAATATTCTTCTGGCTGGGTGTGTTGACCATTACAAACCTGCGTTTGATTCATGATACATTTGGAGTTAAAACATATTTATGTTACCTGATCGTTCAACTTTAGTGAGGGCTGGCCTTCTGATTTTTCCCCCTAAGGTAAAATAAGTAACTGCAGAAGAATGTCATCCCATGCAGGCTAAATAATGCATCGTCTTTTTTCAATCAATTTTTAAGTTTAGATAATCACTCTAGACCTTTCAAATTTTTTTATCATCTGTATCATTGAAGAAGATATTTTGTAAAGGAAAAGAAGATGAGCCTTAGAAAGAGACTGAATATAGGGCTGGCCCGGTGGTGCACTGTAGCAGTGCGCCACTTGGGAAGTGCGGTGACGCTCCCACAGACCGGCCGCTCACTGGCTGAGCGAGGAGCGGGGGCAACACCGAGGGTTGCGATCCTGTTGCCGGTCACGAAAAAAGACAAAAAATAAAAAAAAGAAAGAGACTGAATATAGGGGTGAGAGAGAAGCAGGAGATGGAAAGCTCTTGACTTTTTAGAACCTTGGTATTTTAAAAATAAATGAGGTCACTGACATAAAGGGATTCCTATATTTGACCATGGTTGAGGACTCTTGGGACTGCTGGTTTTGGAAGAAAGAAGATAAATTTTGGAGGAAATGGAATTAAGAGATTACAGAAATCATTGTATACAAATCCTTAAATGATAATTAATAATCTGTACCACATCTCCAAGAAATAGTTAATATTGGTTGGGACAAAGACTAAGCCACTGTAACAGACTCAAAACTAAAGAAGCTCCAAATAAACAGGCATCACTTTCCCTCTCACAGAACTGCCCCTGGTCAGGCAGGTGGCCTAGGCCCAGCAGGTGATCCTGGGGTCCATCGCGTTGTTCAGCCTTACACTGGAGTATTGTCCTTGCCTGTGTGGGCACAGCTCCCTGGCTCTGCCCCCTTCTTGTCCCAGCCCACAGGGACAGAGAGGGGAGAAGCAAAGGCAAGGAATGTCTTTTAAGCAAGGAGTGCAGAAGCTGCCAAACTCCTGCTCCCTCCCCCGGGGGTGGGAACTCAGTCCCATAGCCACACCCAGCTGCAAGGGAGGATGGGAAAAGTAGGTGGCCCTGACCCCTGCTAAAACTCTGTGGCAGGAGAAGAAAGGCAGAATCGGCTCGGGCAGTCATTTCCTTTTGTTCAAATACCTTTCATGTCAATTGCAATCAAGACCTAATGAGGCATATTGTTCCACTTTAGGGTGGCTGTGATTATCCAGAACTACTTACTTGTATTAAGCAAAAATCTCTTTATCTGCAACTTCTGCCTTCCGAAGCCATAATGAAAAAGTCCAGTTTCTCTTCTCTGTGACAGTCTTCCTGGTTTTGAAGCTAGCCATCACATCTCCACAAGGTCACCCCTCCTCTGGGCCACTCAGGTGGAGGGGAGGAAAGGCAGTATCTTTTCTCACCTATGGCTAGGTTTATGGCTGAGGCCCCTATGACAAAAGACAGATTGACAAGAGAAAAGCGCACAAAATTATTTTACATAAGTTTTACGTGACCTGAGAGCCTCCCTAAGGAAACAAAGACCCAAAGAAACAGGAAAACTTGTTTATTTTTATACCTAGTTTTGATGAAGAGTGGTTAGTCATGGAGAAAGATTGGAAGGCAGTGGGGTCTTATCAGTGGTAATAAACTGGGGAAGCTCAGAAAGGTCTGTTTGTTCAGGTGCTTCTTTGTGCCTTGTGTCTTCAGAGATAAGGATGTTTTTTCCCTGCAGGTATGGGATGCACCTGTCAAATGAGGGTCTTATGATCTGTTTCAGGGCAGAGCAGGTGAAGGGGAGGTGAGAGAGACCTTCCTGCCTCTCCTGCTCAAGTACCAAGGTGCCATATTTTGGGGTGATGTGTTCTGAATCCCTTCGCAGGCTAAGTTCTGATCTGTCTGTGTTTCCGCAACCCTCACTATTGCCATAGCTTTTCCCATAAGCATGCGAGTTTGTCAACATCTCTTTCGTATGTGGTGCCGCACCCCCAGGTGAGTATATTCCTCCAAGTTGACCTGAAGCGGAGAAGAATAGGGCAGAGCCATGCTCCCCTGGTGCTGGGCGCTCAACTTCTGCCAGTAAAGCTGGCACCCATCAGATGGGTGTCTGAAAGGCTAGTCATACTGTTCGCAAACCCAAGTCCAGCTGCCGCCGCCACAGAAACAAAAGACTCCAGAGTCAAATGTTGTTGGAAAGGGAAGGCAGCTTTACTCAGGACTGGTAACTTCAAGAGAGAGGGTGGGCTAACCCATCTCTCTGGCCCAGATTGACCAAGGGGTTTTTTGAGGAGGGGCTTGAGGGAATGGAAAGCAGGAGGGGGAGATGCGAGCCG